TTGGAGCACATAATAACATGGATCGGGAGTGGTTTTCAGGCTGCTGGGTTGGGGGCTTGAACCACAGAAGTGGCAGTAAGGGATCCAGAGTCTTAACCATCAGGACACCTGCTAGTCCCTATTTCTTTTTCATCTATTCTTCCATCATTTTATGCCTTTGTCTTCTTTCAATGTATCCTTCTAAATTCTATAGTAAAGCATCCCACCAAGCTGCCTCCCAAAGGATGAATTCCTATCTTATAGGAGTATATTGGAGGGAGCAGTGCTGAAAACCAAACTGCCTGGGCCATATGGTTATGCTCTATTCCCTGGGCCCCTTTTTCCTCTGATATTCTCTCAGAGCACATTTCAATGTTACACATATTAAGGCACACTCCTTTTAGATTGATACTCGTGAGACAGAAAAAATAGGTGAGGTGAGGAAGCAAGTCACACAGTTAGGCCAGATCCTGAACAGAACCTTGACCATTAAGTCTTAATGTGCAAAGCGAGTGGCAAATAGCAGAAGTAATCATTCTGTTAATTCAGGCTAAAAACCCACTTTCACCTGAAACACCCAACTAATGAGGCAAAAGTGCTTTCTTGGCCTGAATCATATGCTTCAATTTGAACATAAAAACAACCTTATCCTATAAAAACAACCTTATCCTAATTTTCCACTGATAAACCTTTACTGCCAACAGAATAACAGAACAAAAGGAGAAAAGCAACATATAATGCTTTAGTGATCTGTGCAAACTACACAGCAAAATATAGATGGGGCAGGACAAACATTGCCTACCACACAACTAATGATGGAATCATTATGAAAACCTTTAAACAAAAAGAATTTGCACAGAAGAAAACAGAGTATATATGCCCACAGAAAAGCATTTAACATGTAAAATTTAATGAATTTTATCTGCACCATCCATGTTCATTGTACTACTCAAAATTACAAAAATATGAAGTTCGATAGTGACGGATTGTGTGAGAACAGACTCAAACACTGCCATTGGCATTTTAAATTAGTAGTTTTGAGGAATCAATTTGCAATACACAAATCACTGAAAATTAGCATACTCTTTAATGATGCATATAGTACTTTGAGGAAGACATTCCAATGAAATAACAAAAATAAAACCACCACCACTTAGAAAAAACAATGTTTGTACTTATGCTATATTTTACAGATAAAAAATGGCAACAAATCCTTTATGGACTTGACTAGAGAATGTTATTGTACTCAGGACAAAACACAGGAGGGCAAAGCAGATGCAATAAAGAGGACTTAAGAAGTGATGAACAGGGCCAGCAGGTGGCATAGTGCTTATGGTGCTAGACTCCCACATAGCCAAGTATGGGTTGAGTCTTGGACTCAGTGGCTTGAAACTCATGCCAGGTGTGTGTGCATGAGTGACCAAAATCCCAATAGAAGGAAGAGGGAAAAGGGACTGTGGTGTGGCCATCTCCCCGGGGGTGATTTCTCACTTTCTATCCGTCTGTGTTTCAAGTGACCAGTGACACACCTGCCCTATAGCAAGCATCTCTCTTTAAAAAAAAAAAAAAAGCAATAAGGAACACACAGTAACAGCTTCCTGGAAGAGACCATGGACCTCATTAATATTTGGTGATAGAGAATTCTGTTATTTATATTTAAGCTGCTCTTGATTTTGGTGCCTGATATTTTGCTAAATGGTACTGGGACCATGAAGACCTTTTCGGGGGGCAGGGGGTGATGGTAGTAAGACTTAATTTCTCAGAATCAGATTCCTGCTACATTTGTAGGCAATCTTCACATCTGAAACATCACCCGCACTTCTGTTATGCAGAGGAAAACTAAAGACTGACGTGAGGACCCTCATGACTAGGAGTAGCTGACTCCTCTTCATGATTGGATACTTCCAGACACTGGGAAGCCCATGCATGTGGGAGAATCCTCTCTGCCTGTCCTCTCTGCCATCACTTTGGAGACAGCTACTTTGACTCCTCAGCACTCAGTGGGAGGGATATGCAGTGGGAAGTTTCACTTCCTCAGAAAAAATTTCTTGGTTTTATGTATGCCTTTCCTAGGGACAAGAGAAACCATGCTAGAAACTCCAGTGGGCAATGAAGAGGGCCCCACATAGAAACAGAAGTAGGAACTTAGCCAGAGGACTTTTTGAAGAGTTGGTTTTGAGCTTTCCCCCTGACTACCAAAGGTGAGAGTAGATCATGGTCTGTGTTTCTTGCTGTTTTTAGGCCTGAAATATGAGGTTTAGCCATGAGTATATGGACCACTGGGTAGCCAAGTGACAAGGAAGGAGGGAAGGATGCAGGTGCCATGGGCTCTGACTTCAACAACCCTACCACACAACAGTGGCTGAGCTTTTCATCACCACGGAAATTGATTCTTGGGCTCCTACAGTGTTTTCTCCTTTAGATCCATATTTACATTCTCCACTCTTGTTGAAAAACTTCAGATACAGGTCTGCAAATAACAGGCTTAGAAATGAACTTGGCTACTGGAGCCATAGAAAACAAGATCAATAAAGCCAATAGCATGTGATTTAGTGGCCACAGAACTTCCAAGAGAAAGAAAAAGGAGCAAAAAGGTCCAAAATTGTAACAAGTGAATTTCTTTCATTTTCACTTGGCATCTAAAGGTAAAGCACCTGTAAATTATCTGAATCTTTATAGTAAGTTTAAATTTGTATTTCATAAGCTATTCTGAAATCTGCCCTGTTTAATAATCTGTAACGTCAAGAAAACATTTTAAAGTGTCTCTCACAATTAAACCCATCCACAACCTTGTATAAATCAAAATTTTGCTACCATATCAAAATGTTACACTGGGGCTGTATAACATTGCCCACATCCTCATTACATGCAACACTAATTACTACCAGCGGATTCAGAATTTTCTGCACATTAGAGGCTTTTAGAGGAGCTATAAAAAATTTCAGGCACCATTAATTTAAATTTGTATTGAAATTTCCTTTTGACAGATGGCCAAAAATTACTTATTATTTAGAGTACCAGAGCTGCCTGTTTGCACATTAGAAGTGGAAAGGGAAAAATTAAAAGCAAGAAGGAAATTTATGTCACGTTCATTACCTGTTAAATGTTAAGGAGCATTATCCTGCATGAATAAATTATTTCATACAAGCCCAACTCCAGCTGCAGGCAACTGGCGCACACTGGCTGATAAAAACCATCTCAAATCACACAGTAGACAATCATAAAAAGCCCCTCTTAACCAGGAGCCACTTACAGGAGGACAAGGACGATCGATGGAACAAGTAACTAAATGCTTCTCTGAGCATCACAGATCACATTTAAGAAAATTAGCAACTATTTCAGCTTCCAAAGCTATTAGACAGCCCCAAAGCTGACACAACACAACTTCAAATTTGAGAATGGTACCCAACAAAGACATCTATTTACAGCTATAATTCTCTAATAAATCAAGGCAAAATCATCCACCTCTAGCTATCTAGACACTCACTTCTAGGCTCACCCTAAAGGATTATAGATGATTTCAAAACACACCGTACTCTTGTGTGAGGGAATAGAAAATGTAATTGACACAAAAGTGTGCACTGGAGTATAAATATTTTCACAGTCTTCTGGGAGAGGAACACGGGACAAGGCTTTTGTTTAGTTCACTGGCCTGCCTAAAGGTATGTATTTATCCTAAGAAGTCAGGTTTATCTTATGGCCCCAGAATAACTAGACATACTTTGCAAGGGTTTCTGCCAGTTAAACTTGGTCACTGCATTTACTGACTACTTTTTAAGTACACAAATATGGGACACTGACTACACTCTAAGAATGCTTCTTAATCTAAGTATTGATATGCACATTACACAACAAAATACACAACTGTGAATGTGTAATTACATCATTTAAAGTGTTCAGTTCTAACTTTAAATGCTGACATTTATGTGAGAATGCAGATGCCTTCTTAAATTACAAAGATTCTTGAGGATTAAAATAAGAAAAACACATCGATACACTCAATTTTTAATTATTTATGAGCTATGAAAAAAATTCCCTTTTACTGTAAAAGGACAAGAAGAGGCATCAAAAGTAACAATACAGGAGATTTCAGGGCAAGACTCTGGTCTTTTCATACATAGCTTCATTAAACACTACAAGAGCTTTAACTACCTATGCTCTAAAATATTCAACTGTTGTCAAATACAAGAAAAGGAACTGGTAGCATCCATACTTTGGCCAACACTTGAGAACTACTATTTTTCTTCTAGCAGTTAAGTAATACATGGCATATGTAATACAATGATGCATAATACAATGACATATTTACATTGTGCCTGGCTCCAAAGTGATCAAAACAATTTTCACACTTTATTCACTTCCTGCCATGGTTTCTTGTTTGCCCACTAAATAAATTCTGGTATCTTACTATAACCTATTCTGGTATTACACAAACATACCCAATCATTGGGGACTAAATACCTTTTCTTTCTATACTAAATTTGCCTATGAAGAGCTACAGAAGGCAGTTAAGACGAGATGCAAAACCTGAGAAGTGATTTGCTATACTAAAAACTAAGATGTAAATTAAAAAACAGAACAAAACAAAACACCTTTCTGGTGAAGAAAATTGCTCTTAACTGAATGTTTGATAAAAAGGTTTGTAGAATCAAACTGTTTCTCAAAATATGAGACAAATATGTATTTCCTTATAAACCAGTTTATTTAGTCTATTATTATCTTGAGGCAAAGGCCTAAGTGAAAGAGAACAGTTAGTCTTTTTTCACATGGCAAGATATAAAATGAACAAGCCAGATCATGTGAGTAAATCTTGGTCTACAAACCTGACTATATTAAGAGAAATACAAGCATAGTCTTAAAAAAATCTCACCCGAAAACCTGAAAGAAATCTAACAATGAAGTTAATCACCATCTAGTAAAGCCCATCAAATCACTCTTTAAATCTGGAAGAATTTATTACTAGACTTATTCAAATCATTTAGAGCTCTTTTAAGCCAAGTCTCTATATTTTTGAGTCTTACCTTGATGGAGTCTCTGTCTATAGGCAAAACAGCAGCAACACAGGCAGATAAAGTGATGGGAAAAAAGAGGAAAAAGAAAAGTACAAGTTAGTTTACACAAAGTCATATACTTATCAAGCTTGATCTCTGCTAAATAATAAATTGCACAGATGTCAACACTGCTGTTGAGTTAATTATTAATATTGCTCAACCAGATTCATAAAGCACCCATTTACCTTTGACATATTTTCAGAAGAACCAGCCAGTGCTGGACATTCTTAGTATTTATGCTTTTTATGGACTTTTCCCCTTACAAAAGCGTTTACAATCATGTGTCAGCTCTGTACCATAGTATTAAGATAACTGGATGACAGATATCATGGTCTTTCCAACATCAGAGGTGGGAAATTTATGCTTATGTGATAAAAATCATTTACCCAAGATTATAGTTCATAGTAATGACACTACAACAGGAGTAGATATGAGCTTTTAATTATGAACCACACCTTTAAAGCCAATGAACCACCCATGTGCTAAGTAAATCCCCACAAAGAAATACTGGGAGAGACTTTTTTCATTTGCTCTTCTGTCATTAACTAGTAAAAATTATTACTAAGCGCCACACAAACGTAATAATCCTATCAAACTGTCTCTGCACTGTCATCTATCTTAGCAGAGGGAGGAAACCAACCTAGAAGGAGGACAACTGGCCTTTAAATCATTAATTGCAGGGACTAGCAGGTGGCGAGGTGGCTAAGGGTGCTAGACTCCCACATGTTCGAATGCAGTTTGAGTCCTGGACTTGGTGGCTTGCTTTTGTGCTTTTGCTCTCTGGCTCTGGCTCTGGCTCTGGCTGCATCCCTCTCTGGTCAAAATTAAAATAAATAAATAAGTAAATATAAAGTAAAATAAAAAATAATTCTTCTAAAAAATCATTAATTGCAAATACAATCATTCTTAAAAGAAGAAAGCAGTTTATTTAACACTTTTAAACAGACTGGATGAGAGCGGCAATTAAACCAACAGATTTCATTACTTTGGGCTAGACCTTCTTAATTACTAAGACTACTGAAATTGCTTCCTTACCTGCGATGATTTTTACCTGACTATACAGACCCATCAGATTTATAAATAGTAACTGATTTGATCAAGTTAACAAGTGAGCCTTTACCAGTGTCTTCCCTCAAAATATAGTCAAAATTAGCCATTAATGCACCAAGCTCTTTCAAGCATGGAGCATGGTGGGATTTAGTTATTGACTGAAGACTTGGAGACCATAGCAGGTAGCCAGGGATCAAAGGCAATAACCAGGAAATGGGGCCCTTTGCCTCTAGGAAGTGCACTAACTCTTGCCAACCACTAGGGTATCATTTGGCAAATGACTGTTTCCAATAATTAATCTACCTTCCAATAAAAATCCTTTGTTTAGTCACTGGTCAGATTAAAATCAGAGATGGAATAAATGATGGCATCTAGAACCTACCCTCAGCAGCAGGTAAGTAACCTCAGACTGCCACCCCAGAGGATCGCTCACCTCTTTGGTGATCATTGTCATGGTGCTTCTTCTCATCTTTAATCGGAAGGTGGGACTGGCCTCCCAGGGCGCTGGAGAGAGCCAGAAGGCCGGCACTGCTACCAATGGGTGGAATGGCAGGAGGCTGGAGTCCAGAAGGGTGAGGAGTCAGAGGCACCGGCAGCCCATGTCCATGTGATAAATGCTGAGCCTGGAGTTGTTGCTGCTGTGAAAAATTAGACACAGATATTGAATTTGTCCCTATATCTAGGACCCCCTTAACAAAAGGAGAGAGGATATGCAGATAATGAAAACTCCAGCACCACAAAAGAATGATTTATCCTTGACAAGTTACTTTTAAACAGAGGAGGCAGAAGAGGGGATAACATGTGTATTGGAGAAACACTACCTTTCTTCCTTAGATTTGGAGATTTTGTACATGTGTTGTGAAGAATTCCATTTTTAAACAGTAAAATGATTTAACTTTTCATAGTTGAAATTCAAACAGATTTCTTGAACAAAGCATCTATTTTGTTTTTTAAAAAATAGGCCTCGCTGTCATACATTTCTAATCAAAACATGTAAGTGAATAAATGTTAAAGCAGTTATGTTGAACAAAAATGCTGAAAATTGAGAAAATTAGTGTTAAACAGTTCTCCCAGAACCACTGCACAGCATGCAGCTAGAGTTAATTTGAAAGAGAAAACCTGAATTAACAACCCAGAAAAGGAAACTGGTTGCAGCCACCATTTCAAGCCCTTTAAGTGTCCTCAGCGGTACTTGAGCAAATTACTAAAGAAAATCTAATGTAGCAAGGCTTGGGTCCTCCTGTAGGCTTGCTCAATAATGCTGAAATAATTGGGCACTCTGTGCACGTTTAGTGATGCTCGAATGAAAAGCTAGAGGCCTGCCCTTGTACTCTTCTCTAGCGGCCGAGTCTGTGTTGTGACAGGTTTATTTGAGTGGGACTGTGATGCATGCACCAGTAACTGCGCTGACAAGAGTTTAAAGTCATTTTTACCAGCACACTGGCAACACATAGAGAAAGCCCTCGAGAGGCTGGAATGGGAATGCTTGACCTCAGCCAAGGCTGCATCAAGCTCAGCTCCAGGAACCACTGTAGGCAGGCCTTATTGCCGCTTTTGAGTGGGAGGCTGGAGGAGGAGGTGGTAAAGGAAGGAGTTAAGTTAAATAGAACCCGCAACAAGAATCCCTTCAACTCTAAACCATGCTTCACAATATTCTGTATCAGAACAAGTGTTAGGTAATTCTCAGGCCAACTTTTGCAGTGAATAAATTTTAATTACTGCCTTTAAAGAAATCACTTTTGGGGGGCCAGCAGTTGGCATGGTAGATAAGGCACTGGACTCCTACATGGGCCACTGCAGTTCAAACCCTGGACCCAGCAGCTTGAAAATTACACTGGGCAG